TTCTGTGCTTCTGTGCTTTAGATTAGCTAAAATAAGCTCATAATATCTGTCATATCAGTGTCTTAGTCTGTCCTGTATTAGAAAAGAAAAACCTATATTTCACTGTCAGTCAAATAAACTGGATAAATGATAGAATACATTGTTGATCTCCACACAGGATTATTGCAATATGATTTTTCTAACTAACCCATTCATAACTGTCATCTCTCCTCCCCACAGTAACTGTCCCTGCTCCCTGGCGGCAGCTCTGGCCAGAGCCACAGCAGACAGCCTCCTGCAGACTGACCTCTCCATCTACCACCTCAATAAGACGGTAGAAGATGGAGCTGACCCATTACCACGTGAGTCCCCCGGGGAGCCCACGAGACTGCTCTCTGTCACACATATATACAGGCACAGACAAATTAGGTCTCGCTCTCACATCATCCCACACACACACACACAGGCATGTAACCACCAGGGCTTTGTCCCAGTTCTCCCCCGCAAAGCTGCATTAAGTGGTATTTGACCGCTAGAGGGCACAAATTAGACTCCAAAACATCTTTGCAGCAATGAGCCAGGATATACTACATCCACCATGGGTCAACAGATTTTCATTAAAATAGTTATCAGTCTTTGTCCAATTAGATTTTCATTATAGTCAGGTCTGGAATTTTGACATTTTCATGGAAGAGACGAGCATATGTAACATGGATGGATCTGTCTGTCACTGTTAACAGAGACTCTGCAGTGTAGTTCATACACTGCACTGATAAAACGCCGAACTGTAGAGTAACATGAGGCTACATGATCAAAGAAACATCACACCAACACTGGATTGTGTATCGACTTAAGAACAGTTGAACACGTTTCACCAGAAGATACCTGATATATCTAAGTAGCCAGCTAGCCAAACCCAAACTTTGCTTATCTTATCGGCTCATCTCTCTTGCTCTTGGAGATTGTAGTGTATATAGTGGTAGTCTAATGTAAACATTTAATTAATCTAAACATTTGCTTTAATGAATATAGACTAAGATAAGATAATTAAATAATGTAACTTTTATTACAGAAAATACTGCAAGTGCATATATATGTGTGTGTGTGTGTATGTATTTGTGAATTATATTCAGTAGTCAGTGTCTGTTAAAGTTGCAGCATTTTTATATTAAGAATTGATCAAATTATTATGTATATTCTAAAAGAAGCTACTCATAGGGATGAACTGTAGTTTATTGTGAGTCACTCCTACATGTGGTACACTGTACTGCTGCTGGAAAGACACACAAGAGCAGCAAATGTGTATAAATCCACTGCTGAAAATAGTTCCCAACAAATCCACTATTTACTCCTGTTTGAGTAACATTTGCCAAAAACTAGTGTCCAGCTGTTTAAGTAAAAATTATGTATTTGTGCCTTTTTTTTGAAAGATTTATGTCTTCAGTGAGAACCAGTGGTCTCGGAGCTGAGTGTCACAGACAGGACGGGCAAAGAACATAATAACAAAACTAGAGAATATTCCCAGGCTTATTTAACATTTTTTGATTACCTTGCCTTAATCAGGTTGTCTATTGCCAAAAACACATGGTGAATAAAGCTCAAACTGTTCTGCACAGTTTGAGCCGTGTGTGCTTTCTCAAACTGCGTGTTGTATAACAGCCTGTTTGATGTTGCTTCACTGCACTCTACTGTTAATTTTTTATCGTCTACTAATTGCAAGGTGTTTTGAGTAGGTCTTGATGCCAGACGCAGTGCTGAAACATCTTCATTTGGAGCAAGAGGGGGGAGTTGCTGAACAGTTACTTCCCAAAGTGAAATCTCGTATTTGGGCAGTTCATGTACTTTTTTAGAAGGGTTACGGGAGGAAATGGAACATAGTGTAGGCTGGTATGTCTCTTTTCTGTGTCTCTCACACTCTCTCCATCTCACCAATGACATATTTGGGAGAGCAGAGTGAGAGCGGGGACAATGGCAAAGACAGGATAGACTATTATACCTGAAGCTAACATTAGTAGGTCAAACCCATGTACACACGCAGCCTTTATCTTTGTTATTGCAGAGAGCTGAAGCCCTGATGCCACTTCAGGGCTAGCCTCTGTTCCATTAACTTCTGTAACTCAGTGCAATCTCACTGAGTTTGTTTAATCGGCCTCTCTGAAGAAGTAAAACAGGTCCCTGGGGGAGGAGCATAATTTACAATGACAAAATTTGATTTTTGACAGCAGAAAAATATCCTAAAAATCACTAAACAGTGTCATCTGATTGCCTGGCTGCTAAAGATCCAGATAGGAGCTTTCATTTTATACCTTAATAATATTGGTGGATTGATGGATTGATGGATATTGTTCAGGCTGTATGCTGCCTGAGTCAAGGATCTGCAGGCACTGCTCAGGGCCGAAAAAGTACTTCCAACTCTCCCTGCATGTTTTTTGGGGGGTAAAATAAATCACATGCTTCTGAAAAGACGTTGAAATTGAAAGTGCTCTAGTAAATATGCAAATATTTATCATAAAGTAGTAGGTCTATCAAGCATCTCTGATACGTCTTACACTGCCATTATTGTGAAAAACACCGATTTAATCATAATTTGTTGTTTTCTAGATTAAAAATAAAGGAAAACAAATGCAGGAAACAGCATTAACCTCTGACTTCAATGTGTCTCTCTCCCATTTGTGAAAACAAACCTACACCCTTGACTATCCATATTCTTAGATAAAAATACTTCAGCACTTGAAATAAACTAAAATATAACAATAATTTAAAAAAATGTACCATCCCCATCTAGATGTGGGGTGAACTCCACCATGGCTGGATGGACCATGGTTGCATAGCAAGGAAGTACCAACCAGCAATCAAACATACTCCAAAACATAATTCTTTTCAAACCTTAATATTTCCTTAATTGAAAATGAGAAGTGAATGTACCTACTGAGACCTCTTAAGAAAGAAAATTAACAAATTAGTATTTATTGAAGTTTATAGACGAGATTAGACATGATTAGTCAATTAATCAATTGGCAGAACAATTATCTGTAACTATTCTGATATCGTTTATTCAGCAAAAATGTTAAATGTTTTCTGATTTCAGCTTATCAAATGTGAGGATTTGCTGCTTTTCTCTGTTTTTTTAATCCCTGAATATCTTTGAGGCTTAGACTGCAGGTCGGACATAACAAGATATCTGAACAGGTCACCTTAGACTTTTTTCATTTCATAGACCAATGATCAGTCGCTTAATATAGAAACTAATTGGCAGATTCATTCGTAGCTTTTTTCAATTGAGGCAACTGGCCAAAATATAGCCAATTCTTCAGAGGCAGAACTCTAAGACAATAAATTGGGAAAAATGCTTTTGCACTGGCAGCTCCTAGACTGTGGAATGATCTACCTCTGTCCATTAGACAGGCTTCTTTACTGTCTTTACTGTTTTTAAATCTCTTCTTTAAACCCACCTCTTTTCCTTGGCCATTGACACCTGAAGTTGACATTTTTGATTGTATTGATTGTTTTGTGCACTTTGGTTGTTTAAAGTGCTTTATAAATAAATTTTGATTGATTGATAGTGTAAATAATTTTGCAGCTCTAGAAAACATAACGTAACATTTCTCATTGAGTTAAATAAACAAATAGACAGTAAAATTATTGTTGTTGTTTTGCCAATATATCATTACGTGCACTATTCAGTTGGACGTGTAAAGATATGAGGAGAAAGCTGTATTGGAGAAACTCACAGTTGCTGCAACACACTGAACGTAGAAGAAGGGAGATTTTGATATATTTGTCTCCCATTTTTCTGGGTCACTGTTGGAAGCTCTTTGACTGATTCTGTGTGTATCTGTGTGTATGTGTGTTAGAGATAGAGTCTGTGACGCTAGCCCGGCTGGTGTTTAACAGACTGTTTGAGATGTGCTGCCTCTGGCTGAAGGAGCTGCCCTTCCACCGCCGTCCACAGCCGTACTACGAGACTTCCATCCACGCCATCAAGAACATGAGGCGCAAGATGGAGGACAAGCATGTCATCATCCCCGACTTCAACACTCTCTTCAACATTCAGGTAGATACGACTTCCCCACGCCATGCAAACGCTTGTTGTTATAGCGCCGTCATCTGGCCAGTTGGTAAAAAGGCTTTTTAAAATGTTCTCCGTGACGATCGTAGACTTTATGGTGGCAACTGACAGGTGGAAGATGTACTCAGATCTTTTACTTAAGTAAAACTACAAAAGTATCATCATCAAAATATACTTAATAGAATTATATAACTAGTATTCATTTTGCAGAATGGCCCATTTCAGATTATATATATGATTTATATCATGTCCACACTTATATATTCTACATTCACGCTCGCTTTCTCTCTTGCTCCTCCCCATGAGCTCTCTCGCTCATCCACTCTCTCACTTGATGCTGACGAGTGCATCGACTTTATGAAAAGTTCAACATGTTTTGGCAAAAGCCACCTGAGATGTCAGGTGCCAGCCAGTCAGTCCCAAACCTTGCTTATCTTAGCAACGCATCTCTCTGTGGTTTCTTGTCTTATTAGCTGATTTATCTAACTTTCCTACCTAAGCTCAGATGACCTCAGAAGTTCACTCCCAGCTTTGCAGCACTGACACATCAGGATGAGTTTGATTAAGTCTCCTTGTTGGCCGGTGCTAAGTTTATTTTCTCAAGAAATAGCCAGCGGTATATAGCAGGCTCTAAATTGAACCCACCCAAAGTTGTGTGCGCAGCATTTCACTGCGGTTCAACAGCCAACTTTCATAATCAGATTTTAGAGCGACTCGTAGCACATGAACACACTAGGTTAACTTTTTCGAATATAAAAAGGCTGCTAATACTCACATAAAACTTTGAATCTTGATGTTAACTAACTGCAGACCTGAAGAGTCATTGGGGTTATGTGTTAATTTAACTTCAACCATGCTGGTATTTATAATTATTGTTTTAAGTGTTGCTGAAGTCTACCTTCATGAGTGACTGACTGGTATTGTCTCTCAGGATCAGGAAGAACAGGCTTACTTTGCTGTCTTTGATGGTCATGGCGGCGTGGACGCTGCCATTTATGCTGCCAACCACCTCCACGTCAACTTAGTTCACCAGGAATCCTTTGGCCAGGACCCCATCGAGGCCCTCTGCAGAGCCTTCAAAGTCACTGATGAACGCTTTGTAAAGAAGGCCTCCCGCGAGGTAATCTCATCTGCACAGAACCAAACCCATTAATAACGATTTACAAAACAGGCCAGTGTAAACATGTGGATTATGTAGAGTAAACATCTGTTATGTTAACTGAAATGTATTTGTTTACTAATATATATTACAACTACTATTGCCACTCCCGCTACTACTGCTACAGTACTACTACCACTACTACTGCTGCTACTTCTTCTGCTGGTGCTTCTACTACTATTAATACTGCTACTATTGCTACTATTACTGCGACTGTAGAACTGCTACTACTACGATGACTTACTACTATTATTACTTCTACCACAGCTACTTCTACAATTGCTGTTACTACAAATCTACTACTGCTACTATTATGATTACTTCTACTACTACTATTCTATTGCTGCTACTACTTCTACTGCTACAATTAGTGTTACTGTCACCACTGCTACAGTACACTGTAATACTACCTAATGCTACTAGTACTACTATCACATCTGTTGTTGCTACGACTGCTGCTGCTACTGCTAATATTACAGCTACTACTACCACCACTACAAATCCTGCTACTGCTGGTGGTACTTCTACCTCTAACAGCTACTCCTACTATTATAGCTACTACTGTCACTAATACTCCTGCTACTGCTGGTGGTACGTCTACCACAACTAATGCTACTAGTTGTTGCTACTACTACTACTGCTGCTATTACTGCTAACACTACAGCTACTACCACCACTGCTACTCCTTCTATTGTTACTGGTACTTCTACTACTACTACTCCTATTATAGCTACTACTATTACCACGAATATGCCTGCTACTGCTAGTGGTACAAACATTGCTAATTCGACTACTACAGCCTTCACTACTACTGACATAATATCACAACAGCAACTTTGTAATAACCTGTCCATGTAAATCTTTCTATTTGTTTTTCTTTGCTAAAGATTAGTCTAACAACAATTTTAAATTATATGTGTGTTTATTTTCATCCTGAACTCAAATATGGATTTTCTTTTTAACCTCTCCAAAATAGCAAAGCAACTCCACAGTATTTCCAGAAGCACCCTCTGGTGTACATATACCGCTGACTGGGAATCACTGTCTTAGAACATGACTAGTCATAAGAAATCTTCCTATTTTTTATAACCTGATGACCCTGATCCAATAGGGACACAGTGCCTGTATGAAATACAGTAGTAGTGGTGAAGCTTCTTGTTGTGAGCTGAAAACTATAACGTGTGTCTGTGTTTGGCAGCACCTGCGTTGTGGCACAACAGGCGTGGTGACGTTCCTGCGGGGTCGGATGTTGTATGTGGCCTGGCTGGGAGACTCCCAGGTCATCCTGGTCAGGAAAGGACAGGTTGTGGAGCTGATGAAACCACATAAACCAGACAGAGAGGTAACACACTCACCATTACACCATCTGGCACAAACGCATAACTTGAATGAAGAAAAATAGCTGAAAGTGATGAATTTGGGCGAATTGGTGGATTTGGAACTTGGATTTAAAAAGACATATTAGCTCATTTAAAATAACCAACTACACCAGAAACGTAAAATGTTTACTATCTAATGCAATACAATACAGTCCTGCACTAAATACGACTTTTCCATTTTCATTTTAATATAGTCATAGGATGCCCATTCAAGTATGTGGAAATGAAAAAGCAAATTGGATTATTGCATTTTCATTTTCATTTGTACTCAAATGACAGATATATATGTGGAAAATTATAATGCTATTGTGGAATCACATTTTCATTTCCAGGTTTACATTATCATTTTAATATAGTCCCCTATATGCCTCCATAATTCGGTTATGTTAAGAGGCTGTTTAAACAACAGCAAATTGATGCTAATATTGCTTATATCTATCAACACTTTCCAATATCATGTAATCCAATCCAAATCCAATCCAACAACAATAAAGGTTCAATTACATTAGAGTTTAATTAACAGCTCTATGGCAAAACAAAACAGTTTGTAATATGGTCCATATGGTTCAATCGTGTTTGATGTATAAATCCAATGGATTTTCCTGCATATCAGTTTGTTTGCAATCTTTGGATTTTATCCCCAAGTATTTCAATTGTGAGTATTTTCTATGAATAAACAGACACCTGTATTTGTGGTCTACATAGTTTTAAACAAGATACATTCGCACCAAACATAATCACAAACTGTTTCTACAGAATGTAGAAAGAGATAACCCATTTAGCTCACATTTATCAAGGTATTACATTAGTGGTATACTAAATTACTAAATTCAGAGTTTGTATACGCATAAGCTTTAAACATGTAAGTAAATGTAAAAGCAACTTTTTTAGAAAGGTGCTCATTCACTTTCTGCTCGAGAGTTAAAAAGATAAAAAGATTGACATGACTCTCTTGTCTGTCCGTTAAAGCCAGCAGCTGGTTAGCTTTGCTTAGCACAAAGACCGGGGGTAACAGCTAGCCTGGCTCTGATTAAAGGTAACAAAATCCACATACCAGCAGCTCTAAAGCTCACTAGCTAACATGATGTATATCGTTTTTTTGCAATCTATACAAAAACTGAAGCATAGAAACCACAAAATGTGCTGTTTTATGTGAGACTATGTCTTGGCAGACATGAAAAGCAGTATCCGTCTTCTCTTCTAACTCTCCGACAAAAAACGAATAAGTGTTTCCCAAAATGTTGAACTATTCCTTTAAAGTTTACAGACATTAATGTTCATTATTGTACAAGAACTAATGAATCACCATACTCCCCACTGTCTACAGCCAATTTTTTGTTGGTACTGTGCAGTTGTAAATTCTGCATTACAAGATAGAAACAAGAAACATTTATGATTACTTTTCACAATTTTTTTCCTATGGCAAAGAAGGAACAACGAGGCGTAGCATCCTTCATCGTCACGGCATGTTTCCTGTTCTTTTGAACCTTCGCTGTACATTTTCAGTCAAAATTCTGCAGCACTGTCTACCAGCACCTGTATTAATATATCACCGTAATAGTGGGACTGGGTGGGCTATGACTTTAAGTGCACTATAGAGGCAGGCCATGCACTGCACTGAGTCAGTTGCTGCAGGGAATGGGCAGGGTGAGATGGTTTTGTACAGCCATCACCATTATGCGCACCACTAAAGCCAACTGTGCTCCATATGTTGTCTGCAGGATGAGAAGCAGAGGATCGAGGCTCTGGGAGGCTGTGTAATCTGGTTTGGCACATGGAGGGTTAACGGAAGTCTATCTGTATCCAGAGCAATAGGTAAACTGTTAATTTAGTCAGTACTCAACACCATATGTAGTATATCTATTAATACATTATATTTTGTCATGAATGCTGGTATGAGCAGGCCCTAACAGAATAAACTGTTACTTGTGTTGACAGGCGACTCGGAGCACAAGCCCTACATCTGTGGTGATGCAGACCATGGTATCTTCCCATTGGATGGTACAGAAGACTACCTAATTCTGGCCTGTGATGGCTTCTGGGACACAGTGAGTCCAGATGAGGCAGTGCGGGTGGTTAGTGACCACCTCCAGGAGAACACCGGAGACACCACCATGGTAGCCCACAAGCTGGTGGCCTCAGCACGTGATGCGGGCTCTAGTGATAACATCACGGTCATAGTGGTCTTCTTGCGGGACCCACGCTCCCCACCAACCACTGGCACAGAGGATGGTGAGGAAGGTGTGGTGGAGGGAGAGGTGGAGGAGGAGGAAGTAGCGGAGACAGAGGAACAGGAAGATGAGGATGAGGCAGTCAGAGTAGAGCGCGATGGTGGCGAGGGAGGCGGCACTGCGGACATGGGGGGGAAGGGTCGCGGAGGCTGGCCCCTTCAGCAGTGCTCAGCCCCCGCTGACCTCGGCTATGAAGACCGAACAGACTCGTTCACGGACAGAACTAGCCTCAGCCTGCTGGGGCCGTCGCTGGAGGGCCGCATCTCCCTGAACCAGGGCTCACGGCAACACTGCTTCAACTTTAGCCCTGACCTCTTCACAACCTCCCACATCTACCAAGAAAAACGCCAACTGAGGCGCAGGTCCTGTATACCTTTTCAGGAGGCCAGCATCTCTAGCTTCACGGACCCACTGTGGCCCCAGACAGCCATGATCTTAGGCCAGGTAGTGAGGCAAAGTCGCAGGCTCGGTTATGGTAGTCGCCGGTGGGGCCGGAGGTGTCCAGGCACATCCAAGGAGCTGCTAGGCCTGTTCCCATCCGGCCACTTGCTGCGCTACAGGCAGCACGACTCCAACTGGAGGCCTGGAGTGGCAGTGCCTCAACTGCCCCACGATGCCACCATCTGAAGAGGTGACCTCAAACCAAACCATCTCCTTCATTTCAGTCCTGCTCCAATGCCCTCTACCCACCAATCCACCCACCTCTGCCTTCAACAACACGTCTTTCTTTGATAGTAGGTAGTTGTGGCTCCTGCAGTCGTTACGTGATTATCGAATATCTGTTGGAGGAGTGACGCTCTCTGTCCTAAGCCGAAATGTTTCCATATGTAAGGTGGCCCACTAAACACAAGCCCTGCTCCTTAATGCTGCAGGTAAAGAGCAAAACAGCATCCTCTCCATTGACAATAGATCAGTCAACAAGAAGTCAGATCTGGAAATGCAGGTTAAAAAGATGTGTTCAGACCGAAAGTGAAAGTAATCTGAAGCTGTACCGTTGTACAAAGTCTGTGAAAAGACAGTAAAGGACAAGAACAGACACAGTTAACTATCCTGAGCTGTGTGACTCTACTTCAGGAACAGGGATAAGAGAGCAAAAACAGGAACAACTGGAGTTCAAGTTAATATCAATTGGCTGAACTCTGGACAGTCATACTTTCAGTGCGTGTTGTTAGCTAGCTGGAGCCTAAGTGTTTATTGGACTTGCCTTCAGTCTGAACACATGGTTAAGTTTAACTTA